ATATACGTATTTCTGTTTTATATTTCTACATATTTAGAGTTGACATATAGCCAAATACATAATAATAATTATTATTATGTAATTATGTACAGTATGCAATTTTATAGAAATGTGCATATTTGCATCCATTTATAAAAATGTAAAAAAAAAAAAGTGCAGATTTTTGTTTAGATGATTAGAAGTCATTGTTTATGCATGTTTTAATAAGCAACACAAAGCCATCTGATTCATATAATGACTTGGAACATATTGCATTATGATATTTATATGCATTATAGAATAATTTCTGTTTTTTTTTTATCATTGCTTAATCTTTGAATGGTTTGTGTGATTTTTAAAAAAATTTTCTAGCCACGACGTTCTTCAATCTGATTAACCTGCAGTACAGCACGATCTCCGAGTTCTGCACAGGAGACACATGTCTGGCCATGACCGCCTGCAGCACGTGAGTATCTGTTATTCATCCATCATGAAGCCTGCAGACTCTCAGGGGTCACGACCTCAGGGAGAGGTGTGATGGTAGAAGAGCATGTTCAGTTTGATGCATGCTTTAAATGAGACGTTGACTGTTCCTGGTGAGGGGAAATTCAAGGAACCTGAGTGTCATCATAAATATACTGCTCATGCTTATGGGAAGATTCACTATCAGAAGTCTGGTTAATGAACAGCTGCTGAGCAGACAGACGATTGGTGGAGCGATCGACAAGGTCATGTATTTGTATTGGGAAAAGATGAGTGATTGAAGGAAAACAATGATGCTGCTGCACCTGTACAAGGGTTTAGATGGATACAGCAGAAGGAAAATCAACCCGATTGTGTGTTTGGCAGGACATACTACTGGCAGGATGAGAAAGGGAAGAAGACGAAATGCACAGCGCCACAGTACGTGGATTTCGTCATGAGTTCAGTTCAGAAGCTGGTGACTGATGAGGACATCTTTCCTACGAAATACGGTGAGTCTCTAGCGCCACCTAGTGATGAACGTGCAAACCGCACGACTGAAGCAAATAGGTTTGATGCTTATTTGTGGTCTTAAAGAACATTACATTTCATTTCCATTTTGTTTATTTGAAAGCAAATTATCCATTCTAGTAGAAAACTAATAAACACACAAATGGATGTGGACAATGTTCCAAGCTACAACAGTTTATGATTTTTCTGTATAATAACAAACATTAACTAACAATACATCTGTTATAGTATTCACATAGTTAATAAAAATACAGATTTTCATTAGTGCATTTTACCTCAAGTCTGTTAAATAATAGTAACAGCTTTTTATTTGATTTTTGATGCTAAATAACATTAATAAAGCTGGTTCCATTTTTCATAACAATGCATTTAAGACAATTTATGGATCTTAATTATAACGTAGAAACATGCGTTTCTATAAACATGTTTTGAAACATTATGCATTACGAAAAGCACAAAACAAATAAACGTGAATGACCTTCAGGAGCATTTGCAGGGTTCCTGTGGTCTTGGAAATATCAGATAATTTTAAAATGATTAATGGAATTATTAATTAGAATTTCATATTCTTAGTATATAATCTTGAGATATAATTATTCTTCTAATTTCTATAGTGATAGTGAAATTATACAAATAATAGTATTTACTGGTATCAGTAAGGATTCATTAAACCGATCAAAAGTGACAGATTCATAATGTTACAAAAGATTTATATTTTAAATAAATGCTGCTCTTTTGAACTTTCTATTCTGTGAATTCTAAAAAAATAAAATGTATCACAGTTTCCACAAACATATTCATCAGCACAACTGTTTTCAACATTGATAATAATCAGAAATGTTTCTTGAGCAGCAAATCAGCATATTAGAATGATTTCTGAAGATCATGTGACACTGAAGACTGGAGTAATGATGCTGAAAATACAGCAATAAATTACTTTTTACAATATATTCACAGCTAATTTGAATTACAATAATGTTTTGCTGTTTTAACTGCCTTTCTGATCAAATAAATGCAGCCTTGATGAGCAGAAAAGACTTCTTTCAAACACATACATGAACAGTAGTGTGTGTATATATATATATATATACTGTATATAACAGATTGGTCGGAAAAGTCAGAATTTAAAAACGAAAAAAAAAAAAAAATTACCTTTTGATTTCTAATTTTTTTTCTCCAAATTGTGAGGGGAAAAAGTCAGAATTACAGTACGAGATATAAACTGAATTGTGAGGAAAAAGTCAATTATGAGATATAAAATGAATTTAGAGGGAAATGTCAGAATTATGAGATATGAACTGCATTTCGAGGAGAAAAAAAGTCAGAATTGAGATATAAACTCAGAATTAAGAGGAAAAGGTCAATTATGAGATATAAACTCAGAATTGAGAGGAAAAAGTAAGAATTGAGATATAAACTCAGAATTGAGAACACATCTACTGGTCTCACTACAAGGAGACGGTGGCCATGGACCTGCACGGACACCTAAACACACTCTACACGCATTTCGTGGTTTTTATAAGGGAATTCAATCTGATGGACCCCAAGGAGACGTCGATAATGGACGATCTGACGGAGGCCCTGTGCACGCCGCTGCCTCCTCAGCCACAGAACCACGTGACGGAGAGATGAGTCCGGCGCCGCTGCGTCTCTGACCTGCCAAGCCAGGGTTCAGAAGGACTGCTGGGACTCGCAGACCTTCTTCACCCTCCCAGAACATTGCTCTCTTTAGGACCCGGTTCGGAGCGCTCCGCCAGGCTCTCGCCGAATGACCTCAGAGGCAGCCGCCTAACCCTTTAACCAAGAACAACCTGACCGTGCTTCGGTTTCCTTCCCGTTTTACGCTTTCCGTTTGATGCAGCAGTTTCCCCTCTCTTGGTTTGATAAGGGTGTCGGCCTGGTCCTCGTGTTCGGTATAAAGGTTTCTTTTCCATTTTTATAGGGTAAAAGGGGTGTGTGTGTGTGTGTGTGTTCAAGGCTTTTGCACTCAGGAACTGAGAGAGCTGTCAATGCTACCTGCTCACCCATAAGCCTCTCGGTGTCACTTTACTCATCATATAGCAATCCCATCCTCCCTCTACTTATATGGGACAGACTTGTGTTGCATATTAGCACGTTAACCACTGTAGAGGAGAGCCGAGGTGAATCAGGCGGCCATTATGGCTCCAGGGCCTGGGTTTCACGCGTTCTCCCTCGAGAATGACAAGGACATTTGCGTTGTCTGCTGTTGAATCTGAACGTCCCGAGTTCGGAGGACGGCTTGTAATCATGTCTAGCCTCATTCTGAAAAGACGATTTGTGAATGGAAAAGAATGTACACTTAGTCT